CTGCCCCGTTCGTGTAAATGGCTGTTTCTATAGCCCAGCCATACAAATGACTGTTTTCACCGAACAAATCTACCGAACGGAGGGCCACCCAGGATAGAAGTGTGCTGCTGGTTAACCTCTTGATCCCAATTAGAACGTTGTGGTTAACCGCAGACACTTCTCAATTAAACCGAATTCAGGGTGGTTGTCGTTCGCATGTCGACCACAAGGCAGCGGCCATTTTAAAACACACGAAAGCCCAGCGGTGTTTGGCACTCCCATGGAGTCAATCGCATACCGAAAGACTGTAAGGATTTTGACTCCATGGCGATTGAACTATGTGTGTGGGATCTGAGCGCTATTCGCCAATAATATGCACTCAGATCCAGGCTATCTGGGGATATGTGATGCGAATGGGAAATGTTCGGTTGTTATAAAGTTATGTATTTTTATGTATTTTCTGGTATTGTATTTAAGATTGCGATTTGTCTTTGTCCTGGAGATAATTGAATTACTTCTCAATTATCTCCAGGGCAGAGGGGAGGAAACCATAATGCATTGTGGGAAAAGCTTGTGACTGTATGTCTGAAATGTCCCCATGTCTGTCTGTAATTCCAGTCTCCCATTTGGTCCCCTAGGGGAGTGTCCACCAAGTGGGAGACCTGCATAAATACGGGCAGGTAGTCCACAGTAAAGCCAGATCCTGTTTGACCCTCAATGCGGAGCTTCTGTCTCATTATTGGGGGGATTTCTTATTTGCGCTTAGAGACTGCTTACTGGAACCGAAAGCCGCTTGGTGGATATCGTTGTTCGGCGGCTAGCAGCAGTTCGTGGATTTCCGTTCGGGAGTTTGGAGCCTTTCACGGATCCCGGTCGGGAGATTATCGCTTCCCTTGATGTTGGTTCGTATACCGCAGTCTATGCGAACGGAGTTATTGGTATTGCGAAAGGGGAAGGCTAACTAAATGGCGGTTTCTCTTAAAGACACCAGGGGTGTCTTAACACTCTTGGTCTAAGAAACCCATAAAACGCTAGATAAATGGCAGTTTTAATGACCGCATTCGTATGGGGTTCAAATGGTGCATGGTCGAGAAGGTCGGACAAGGATTTGAACATTTTAATGTCAATGGCAAGTCTCTTTGGTGTTGCGGGGCCGTCCGCTTTTGCTATGCCTTTCAGTAGTGTTCGGATGGGATAAGAAGTTAAGGACCCTTTGTGGTTAGGGAAGGAGCAATACATATGGTGTTGTATCCCCGTGAGGTACAGCTTAATAGTATTATGTGAGAATTAAAATTTAAGGTGGCAAAAAGATGCAAAAGCTATCAGTGAAGAAACCTCGAACCAGTTGGCTAGGTGATGGTCAGACATGAATTGTTTGTACAAGTGAAATGCTCTGTGATACGCGTGTTGGGTGCTGGTGGATAGAGCTAACTTGGTGAGAACGTGGCTGTGCTGAAGTAGTTTGTCTACTCCATGATAAGATCTTTGAAAGTTGGAGCTGGGGTTGCTACACGAGCTGCCGAGGGTAGGGACAGTCTGAAAGCCTGAAATTGAAAGCGAGATAGTTGGTCAGCTGCCGTGTTGTATATGCCGGGAACATGAGAGCATACAATGTGGAACTGATGGGTAGCCGCCAGCCATGTCAGTTTCCTAAGGAAACTCATAATCGCCAAGGAGGAAGAGCACCCTTATTGATAATGTGGCATATTGCCAGGTTGTCAGAAAAGCAGCATACGGACTGACCTTTCCACAACCTACACCAAGTGACAGCTGCAGCATCTATTGGGTATACTTCAAATAGGGCTGAGTTAGTGTGAAAACCCTCAATGCCCTGTGTTTCTGTAGGCCAGGTCCCCCAGAGCCATTCTGTGCCGAAAATGGACGCATATCCAGCAGATGATGCCGCGTCTATCCAAATGACTGGTGACTGTGAATCAATCTGCGGGAGGAACATGCTCCTCCCATTCCAGTCCGAGAGGAATTTGTACCACATCTGGAGGTCAGCGGTCACAGGACAGTCCAAGAATATGCGGACATGCTCATTGGAGAAAGTGGGGAACAGGGCGAGGAGCCTAGAAATGAAAGCCCTGCCCTGGGGGATTATGCGCATGGCAAAATTTAGTGAACCCAAAAGTGATTGTAGTTCTTTACGATTGCAAGACCCGTTCTGAATGTAGTGGCTAATATCGTGTAGGATGTGAACGATATTTTCTCTAGGGAGGCTGGCCATCATTGTTGATGAATCCAGCAGAATACCAAGAAAGTTTATAATTGTGTCTGGTCCTTCGGTTTTAGTGGGTGACACAGGGACACCAAGGGAGGTGAATAGTTTGAGTGCTTTGTCTAGACTACGTGGGGGGTTGGAATTAGATTCGATGAAAAGAAAATCATCTAAGTAATGTATCACATTTGGGCACCTGCAGGTATTGAGGAGGAGCCAACACAAAGCTTCTGCGAACGTGTCAAAAATCCTCGGAGTACTCTTGGCCCCAAAGGTGAGCTTTGTAAAAAAGTAGTAGGCGTCTTGCCACTTAACGCCATGCAGGTGCCA